GATCTTGTCGGGCTTCCCGTCGTGCGCATCCCAAAGAAAGTATGGTACCAGGGCCGCCAGCTGCTGGGGGGAGTGGGTCGTGCTCACCTCCTTCCACATGCTCGCGAAGCCCTGCGTCACCTCCTTGTTGCCGAGGTTGCCTTCTGTGCCCCACCACTTCACCGTCGCCGCGAGGATCGCCGCATACGGATGGCCTCTGCGTTCGAAGTCAACCTGCTCGCCTGAACGCACTTTTTCGCGCAGCACCTCTGACAGCACGTCGTACGTCTTGCACGTTGCTTCCTGCGACTCCGACAAGCCGCCCTTCTTGACCTCTCATTGTTTGGGCACGACGGTGGCCAAGTCCTGGATCCCGAGGGGATCCGCCAACACGAGGCGCCCCATCGTCTTCACCGTCTCGCGGAGGCCCTTGTTGTTCCCGCCTCCCTCGCCCTCGCCACGGCCCTTTTTGTGCGGCGGCGGCGCCACACTCATCGCCGAGTCCGTCGGGATCGTCAGCCAAGCAGGTTGTCCCTCCAGGGCCATGTTGCTGCTGCCGCCGCCGCGCGAGGTAGCACCACTCTTGGTAGATGCTGAACCAGATGGCTACTGAGGTGGTTCAAGTCAGTGTGCCCAGCGCCGCACAATCGACACGTCAGGCTTGCAGGTGGTACCAGCCCGTGGAATTTTCGAGCCCCGTCAGGAAGACAGTACCCCCGAATCAGAGAGCCAGCGAGGTGACGACCACCTACCACTCTTGAGCTCAGCACCGTGTGACAGACCACGCACTGGTTTGTGGGCGAAAACACATGGCCAGCATTTCGGGCATGATGTTTTGCTCGAAGATGGTTAAGACGGTCACGTATTATATGAACTACTGCATCGCACCTCCCACCATCCTCTGCCACCCACCCACACTTCCATTCCCGAGGGGCCTCTGGAGCAGGAGGAGCAGGAACTTCCCAAAGAGGCCGATACCCAGGAGGAGGCACTTGGACACGAACCTGAGCCGATCTAATAGCTGTGAAGCCTATTTTGACGAAGTCGGGCGCCATCTCGGGGTCCAGGAACCTGCAGGGGTACTCCGAGAGCTCTTCCATGACGAAGGCCTCCTCCCCTAGAATTTTCCAAGCCTCCTGGAGACCCTCCTGAATGCGACGAGCCCACGGGGACGCATGCTCTGTCAGGCGGTCCTGCAGCACAGGCCAGTATCTGTCGAGCTCCAGAGCCGGCAGACGGCTGGAGAGTGCGCACAGGAGCTGCTGACGACTGTCAGGGAGGCGTGCAACGTGCTGGCACCAGCTCACCGAACGAGTAACTCTCTGGCGCTCGGGGCCAACTTCCAGCGCTGTAGAACTTGAGCGTTCGGCCGTGCAGTCGTGTGCTCGGCCTCGCGCAAGGATGCCCCGGCCTTGCAGCGGCACGCGGCACAGGCGGGACACGTGAGAGTCCCGATCCTTGCACTGCTGGGGGGTGGCTATCATCGCCTCCAGGCCACTCAGCAGAGCGTTCTGGACAAGACCAAGCAAGGTAACTCGGGTCCACTGCCAAGGGCACCTGAGAGCCCAGAACCCGCCCATGGAGTAGAAGCCCGACGACGCCGCCTCCTCACGGCGAGCAACTTCAGGACCTGTGATGCCAAACAGGGGAATTTGAGACCCCCAAAACGCGTGCATTCCTGAACTTCACCTTCGAGAGTGGGAACTGCGTGTTGGCGAAGCCACCGTTCTACTTCAGTGCCGCCCTCACCCGAGACGTGAAACAAAGTGACCTGCTTGCTCCTGTTGGTTCCAAACCCCGCCTCCTCCAACTCCTCTACTACCTGGTCGGACGTTCTCATCTACCTCAGAAGCTCCGACATCCTTTGAAATCGAGATACAACCGTAACGAGATCACCGGCATATTTAAGGAGGCTGATGTTCGCGTGCATCTCCTTCCGCCCAGCAATGAGAGCCCGAGATGTATGATGATCCCCCCCGGTACTTCTCAGAGAAGATAGGCTTGTTGAAGGTGCCCCTGAGCAGTGAGACAACGAATGGGTCCCCATGGTGCCTCCCTCGCCTGGTTGAAGCCGCAAGGGCCCCCCCTCGGTAGCATCCAGCTCAGAGCGGTGGCCCGAAGCGAAGGCATTGCTCATGTCCTTCGGGCTCGCCGGGAACGTATGGTGAGAATGCCGTAACCTCCACGCCACCACTTGAGCTGTAATGGTCGCACCCTCTCGGCGATGCTGCTTAATGAAGCCGTAGTCGCTCCCATCGGGAGGACGTGGACCACTCGCTTGCATTTCACCGCTGGAGCCCCACCCTTGCGAAGTCCCACCGCCGAACTGTGGTGCCATTGACTGGGAGTCCTCGTCGGACGTCTTGTCATCCGAAATCCCCTCAGCATCGCCTGGCCTGTCTACGGCAGCTCAGTGCTGTCTTTGGCACCGCGGTCGATGCCCACGAAGAAAAAAACCCTCAGCGTCGTCTCCGAGAGGCTCGACATGCCAGGGATCCCTGCGTCCGCACCCACCCCTCAACGTCCACGTACGAGTCACTTGTCGGGATGAAAGCAGAACTGCCAGCCTTCTGCACCGAAGACGGCACTCGCTTGATGTCATTGCGAGCACACTCCTCCATCTCAATGCTCAGATCAAGCAACGGCGTCTCCGACGTCACCAGCTCGGGTGGATCGACCTCCGTCGCCGACATGCCTCCCGACATGCCTGGTTGTTGCCATGCTGCTAGCCATTCCTCTCGGGTAGGCTGGGCTGCCCGAATGGTGCGTCCGTCACGTTTCTTCGGTCCGAATCTGCATCGACCTGCTTCGCGAGAGAGTCGCATCGCGAGCGCCAGCTTCCGAGCTCTCCAAGCCGCCTCGATCCCCTCCTCCATGTCTATAGATCTATGTTTTATATATATATATATATGTATGTGTGTGTGTTGCTGGTCGTTCCTGCCGTCGTTGCTGGTGTAGCCGCTGTGTGACCCCCTTTAGGTGCGATCTCCAGCTCCTGCAATCTCTTACTCCACTCGTCCTCCGTCACCTCAAGGTACTGTCGGGGAAGGCCCCCAGCCCCGTGCGCAGTGGGACCCACGTCAGCGCACGCAACAGAAGAATCCTCCGTCTCCTCGAGGGACTCGCGGGGAAGGCTCCCCCAGACCCGTACGCTGTGGGACCCACATCAGCGCACGCAACTGAAGAATCCTCCGTTTCCTCGAGGGGCTCGCGGGGAAGGCCTCCCAGACCCGCACGCTGTGGGACCCGCACCAGCGCACACAGCAGAGGCGCTTGCCGAAGTTGCCGTCGTTGGGCCCGTCGATCCATTCGTGGTCATCCTCCTAGACCTCGTCACGGATGGACTCGCCGACCCCTTTGCCCGTGTCTCCGCTGCCCACTCTCCTATCGAGGCACGGAGTTCGGCACGTTGGTGAAGCAGTTCTTGGCGCAATGCGGCGTCACCCTGATATTGCACATCGTGCCCAGATCTGAACATTGTCTGGCCAGCCTCCACCAGCACCCTAATCATACAGTCGACGAACTTGTCTGGATCACCTCGGCGCAGCATCTCCGTCTGCGTTGGATCCTCCTCGCGAAGTCTGGCCTCCACCAACGTCAGGACATCCCGCTTCAAGGTACCCTCTCACCGTAGGGTATTCGTAATCTTGTCACGATCCCATTCGGTGCGTGGGGCCCTCTGAATATGTGCCAGGAACTTCGGAACATCAATGTGCAACATGATTGGCACGAGATCCTGAGGTGGAGAACCCCTGAACGCATGCAGCTGTGCGCCAAGTCCTCGTAGTGTGCGACAGTGCACTATCACGTCGGCCATGTGCAGAGGAAGGAGCATACAATCAATCATGGAGCTGCCGCCCTTGGTCCCGAAGTACGTTGGGCAAACACCGAAGCGAGCGTTCGCCGCCATCAGAAGGTGCTTAGCCGCACTCGAGCGCAGCATCTCCCCGCCTCCAAAGCGACGAGCTTCCCTGGATGCCGGCGCCTCCGCCTCTACCTCGTCTTCCTTCCACTGCAATTTCGAAGACTTGCGACTGAGGCCGATGCCATCATTCACGTCCGGGAAGACTGCTCAGAACGTCGTCAAGCCATCTGCCCAGAATGTGCACCGTCTCCAGGTAAAGCGGCACCTCCGTGGCCCACCTCGGCTGAGGAGGGAGATGCACTACCACCAGGCAGTAACAAGTCCTGACAGCCACGCTTCACCTGGAATGCCAGAGCTCGGCCTCCCGCTCCCTTCGGGCCAGCCCACACTCGCACAATGTCGTTGAGACGGTAGGACCGATTCAGAACCACCGCGCAGCTCGTGCCACTGTGAGTGTAGCGTCCTGGCTTAGATTCCCCCTCGATAAGCCACTGTCTTTGGACTCGGCGCCAGAGGGCCTCCTTTGCTTTTCTGTCACACGCCTGCGCCCCCCCCCACCAAGACAAAGTCAAGCGAACTGCAGCTCAGAACGATCTCCTCAAGCCTTGATGGGCCTGTGCTCCAGCACCACCACCACCCAGAGTTGGAGGGGGGAGGGGGTCCTCCTGACCCTCTTCTTCTTCCTCCTCCTCCTCTCCTCCTTCTCCTCCTCCTCCTCATCCTCCTCCTCTTCCTCATCCTTCACCTCCTTCCCCCCTCAAACTTGTGGTGGTGGTGGTGGACAACAGGCCCATCAAGTCTGTCTCCACGGGCACTTTGAGAGCTCCAGCCGGATATCTTCGCATCTCCCAGCCACGGCCCACGACGCTCGGAGGCGAGGTGCGAGGAAGCCCCCAGTTGCTGCTGCTGTGAAAGGTACCTGTCCTGCTGCCAACTGAAATCGCTCGAGCAACCGTGGCAGCTGGAGGAGGAGGAGGACGACGACGACGAGTTCGACAAGGAGGTGGAGGAGAGGGAGGGGGAGGAGAGGGAGGAGTAGGAGGGCGGGGGCAGTGCAGCGAAGGCGGCGACAGCAGTGTCAGGATCCTGCGCCTCCTCCGTGGTGGGGCCGGTAGGAGAGCGCGGACAGATCGTCCCCCCACCCGGCCGGCAGGAGCGCGCGGAGGCGGAACGAGCGGCCCAGGCTACCCGGAGGCTGCTGGCGGACGGGCAGGTCCGCCATTCCCTCTCCTCTACCCCCTCCCTTTGCGTCGTGAACGCCCCCTCCTCTACCCCACCTCCTCCTGCTCCCCCTCCCGCCCTGAGGTCCGCATCCTCTGTTCCCCCCCTTCCCCCCCCCCCTCCTCCTCCTCCTCCTCCTCCTCCCTCCTCCTCCTCTCCTCCTCCTCCTCCTCCTCCTCCTCCTCCTCCTCCTCCTCCTCCTCCTCTCCTCCTCCTCCTCCTCCTCCTCCTCCTCCTCCTCCTCATCATCATCATCATCATCATTCATCATCATCATCATCATCATCATCATCATCATCATCATCATCATCATCATCATCATCATCATCACCACCACCACCACCACCATCATCATCATCATCATCATCATCATCATCATCATCATCATCATCATCATCATCATCATCATCATCATCATCATCATCATCATTATCATCCGCCTCTCCTCCCTCCTCCTCCCCCCCTGAGGTCCGCTTGCACGAGGCCGCGTCGCGGCTGCAGCGGGCCACGGAGCGCAACGGCGCGCTGGAGGAGGAACTGCGGAGTCAGGCCCGGGCCGCCGAAGAGTTCAAGGCCAGAGAGGCCGAGGAGCCTCCCGTGGGGGAACAGCGAAATGACAAAATTAACAAATAAATAAGGGAGGGAGGGGGAGGAGGAGGAGGAGGGGGAGGAGGAGGAGGAGGAGGACCAGTGCAAACCCAACACGCATCAACGACGTTGCAATGAACCCTCCCTCCAAGTGCCCTCTTCATAGGTCCCTAATCGGACTTATCTTCATACGGGAAGTGACCCATTAGAAGACAACCGTCTGGAAAGCTTCAGTCGTACCCAAACTTCACTCCCGGGACTTCAACGCCGCGGATCAACGTGACCGTGGCGCTTTGACAAACCTACGTCGGACCAGAAAACCATCACTTGGACTGCAACCCCTCGAATCAATATGATTGTTGCTTCCTGGCAATCCTACATGGCACCAGAACGCCATTCGTGGGACTTCAACCAAGCAAACTCTTGAAGCTGCTGCAGACGTTTACGACGAATGTGCGCCGTGCTAAGCCAGGCACCACGTGTTGAAAGCGAATTGTTGTCCATCGTAGCGATCTTTTTAGACGAATGTGCGCGGCGCTAGGGAGGGAGCTACATTTTGAAAACGGGCCGCCTTGCATCCTTGAAGTTCTTGCAAATTTTAATGGGAGACAAGGAGGACGGAAAGAAGGAGGAGGACCAGTGCAAACCCAAGACGCATCAACGATGTTGCAATGAACCCTCCAAGTTCCTTTTTCATAGGTCCCTAATGGAATTGATTTCCAATGCGGGACGTGGCCCGTTAGAAGACAACCGTCTGAAAAGCTTCAGTCGTGCCAAAACTGCACTCCTGGGAATTCAACGCCGCGGATTCAAGTCGTTGTTGCGCCTTGACAATCCTTCATCGTGCCAGAACAGCATGTCTGGAAACCCGACACCGCGAACCAACTTGACTGCCGCGTCCTGGCAGTCGCACATCCTCTAGAACACCGTGCCTGGGACTTCAAGCAACACGTACTGCACGCGGGCCTCCGTCTTTGAAGCTGCTACAAACTGGTTAGGCGAATGTGCGCGAACCACATTTTGAACACGACCCGCCTTCATTCGTAGAACTGCTGCACAACTGCGACGCTGGGGCGAAAACTACATTTTGAAGACGGGCCGCCCTCCACTCTTGCAGCCCTTGCAGGTTTAATGGGAGGCGAGGAGGAAGTTGGAGAGCAGGACCAGCGCTAACCCAAGACGCATCAACGATGTTGCAACGGACCATTTCAGGTCACTCAAGCATCTATTTCCAATGCGGGAAGTGGCCCGTTAGAAGACAACCGTCTGAAAAGCTTCAGTCGTGCCAAAACTGCACTCCTGGGAATTCAACGCCGCGGATTAAAATCACTGTTGCGCCTTGACAGTCCTTCATCGCGTCAGAACAGCATGTCTGGAAATCCAACACCGCGAAGCAAATTGGCTGCCGCGTCCTGACAGTCCCACATCCTGCCAGAACGCCGCTCCTGGGACTTCAAACAATACATGTTGCACGCGGCCCTCCATCCTTGAAGTTACTGCAAACATTTTATGCGAATGTGCGCGGCGCTATGGCGCGAGCCACATTTCGAAAACGACCCGCCCTCCATCCGTGAACCTGTTGCACATTTCAAGCTCAAGGATCCGAAGTCGTGGGGAGCTCTCAGGCCAAACGCTCGGCCCGCCCTACTCAACACGCCTGGTGGTGCTCCAAGGGCGAGTTGATTGTTTCAAACAGTGGAGGAGGAGGACGACGACGAGCAGGAGGAGGGGGACGGCGACGACGTCGACGACACGGACCTCGGACGAGGAGAAGGACCTGGCGTCGGGCGGCCTTGCTGCTCTCGGCCGCGCGGCGCGTTTGGTCCGCAGGCCTGGCTCCCGGGGGGGCGGGGGGGGGGCGGGGCGTCTTCGGGGCCCGGGGCGCCGAGGCCGAGGAGGAGGAGGGAGAGGAGGAGGAGGAGCAAGATAGAAAAGGATATGGAGGAGGAGAAGGAGGAGGACGAGGAGGATAATGGAGGAGGAGGAGGAGGAGGAGGAGGAGGAGGAGGAGGAGGACGAGGAGGAGGAGGAGGAGGAGGGGGGGTGTGGTGTGACGGTGAGGGTGGGGGTTGGTTGGAGTTGGCGGCTTGCTTCTGTTGTACTCCCTCCATGGCGGTCGCCGGGCGCGGCGCGGCGGGACGCAGCAAGGACCATCCTTAGTGCGGGCGCAGCAGCAACAGGAGGAGGAGGAGCAGCAGGAGGAGGAGGAGGAGGAGGTTAAGGAGAATGACGACGACGATCAGGAGGAAGATGATACAAACGACGACGAGGGGGAGGCCAGGGAGGCGGGAGCACTTCGGAGGCGGAAGATAACAGACATCAGGCGGACTGTTCTTGTTGCACCGCGGCGTTCTTCTCCAATTTCGGTCCTTGGGGGTCGTTCTCGGGCCCTGGGGCAGTTGCAAACTGCTCCGGGATGGAAAATTGTCCCTAGGGCAGGATGGGTCGGGTCTCTGGTGCCAGCCATTGGGGGGCTCCTGGAAACAACTGGACTACGTCCGAGTGCCCGCGGGTCTCTGTCCAGCAGTCCGATGGGACACACATAAATCGCTCCAGGGCGTTCTGGAGCGTTTTGGAACGGCCGGGGCGCCCGACTCCGAGGTTCATAAAGGGGGGTGGGCGATGCCAAGGTTGGTTTAGGGAAGGAACCGCGCTCGGTGCTCCCGTTTCCTTCTTCGGGGGCCGTCTTGGGCGTTTTTCCTCAGACCCCAACCCTGCCCCTACACCGCCATTTGCATACCCCCGACCGATGCCCCCTTCAGTGCCCACCATGCTGTCAGAGGTATCCGATCATCTCGCTCCGATGATGTCCTCGCCCTGCCCTCGTGTGGCCTCGGCGGCTCGCGGGAGGGAGGCAAAGCTGAGGGGTGTCGGGCGGGTGGTAAACGGGGGTGGCCTAAATGGGGGGTGAAGGATAGAGGAGGAGGAGGAGGAGGAGGAGGAGGAGGAGGAGGAGGAGGAGGAGGAGGAGGAGGAGGAGGAGGAGGAGGAGGAGGAGGAGGAAGGAGGAGGAGAGGAGGAGGAGGAGGAGGAGGGGGGGTGATTGGGAAAGCGGAGGTTGCGAAATTTGCTGCGCGCAGCTGGCTTCTGCCCCGCCGCCCGCGCGCCTCTCCTGGACACGCTGGGCGCCTCCGGCGCCAGGAGGCGCCGGGAAGCCCAGCCGCACGAGCTGGTTTGGCTACCCACCCCCTTTCGTCCGACCCCATGGAGGGTCCCCCTTCGGCGACTGGGATCCGTCACGTGATGCGAATCGGAGGAGGAGGAGGAGGAGGAGGAGGAGGGGAATTTCACACCGCGTGGCGAAATCTTACTACCTACCCCTGGCCTTCTCGGGGATGCCGCTCTCCTCCGCCCTGCTGCCCCCCCTTCGTGTCCGACCCGAGAGCGGCTCCCGCTGCCCTCTCGGAGAGGCCGCCCCGCTCCGTCCTGGGCCCCTCTCCTGCGCGCGCCGCCAGCGGGAGTAGCGCCCCCGCACCACGAGAACAGGCTGCCGAGGAGCCTCGGAGGGCCGTGCGGGGCTCTGGCTCGAGAGGAGAGGGGGCGGCGTTAACGTACAGGGGGGATGCCCCTCTGCAGGAAGACTGTTCAACAATTGTATAACAAATTGTCTGGGTACGACTTTTTGGCTATTGTTGGCCATTCGAGGGTATGCCTGACTATTCTTAAGTTCTTCCAAAATCCGCCTGTAGGGGGCCACGCCCGACCTACGGATAGCGTGTCGCTCCGCGGGTTCTGGCCCACCGCGCCTCGGTGCTACATGCTGTTCACTTCCTGGTCCCCAGCCGTCAGCGTCTCGAGTTTTTCCCGACCTCCTGCCCCGCGAAGCGGAGCGACACGACATCCGCTTGCAAGGCACAGCGTGGCGCCAGGCCGCCGCGGCCACGCGCTAAGCACACTCGTACCGTACACTGCTCCGAGCGACGGCGGCGGTAAAGTGCCCGACCGTACGCTTTCAGAGGGGCGCGCGTGCCTCTTCTGGCGCACGGAGCGTGGCAGGGGCGGCGCCCCGGGCGCCGCCAGGGGGGTCCAGCGCAGATCCACAAAAACCGCGCGGACCTCCGGCAGTTTATGTCTGTGCCCTTGTCTGCTCCTCTACCAGCCGAAGCGAGGGTCAAGAGCGCACCGAGCTCCTGGATGGGGTGTGCACTCTCGCGCTCTTCAGTCCTGGACCCTCCGCCTCGCAGCGCTCGTCGTCTGGGGTATTCCTGTGGGGCCTGGGGCGTTCCGCGAAGGGGCCAACGGCACCGCTGCATGGGCGATGCAGCGCGATCCTCCGACCTCATCTACAGTCGGGCCGCTGAAGAAGGAACCCTTTTCGTTTGGGAGGGGCTCCGTGTTCCTTAGTTCTTTTACAGTACTCCTTGGGCTTTCCTGAGGTTTTCCATGGAACATCGGAGTTTCACTTACGGGAAAAAGGATCCTCCTCCCTCTTTTATCGTTCGTTAGGCCAACGCCCCGACTGCACTCCGACCCCATCCGGGTGCCTCTGTTGTGGCCGTGCCTCGACCGTGCTGCCCCCCCCCCCCCTCCACGACTCGCGAGAGAGGCCCCGCCTCTGTCCTTTCGAAGGGCTGTGCCGCCCTCCTGGACCCCGGCCCTGCTCCTCCTCCTCCTCCTCCTCCTCCTCCTCCTCCTCCTCCTCCTCCTTCTGCTCCTCCTCCTCCTCCTCCTCCTCCTCCTCCTCCTCCTCCTCCTCCTCCTCCTCCTCCTCCTCCTCCTCCTCCTCCTCCTCCTCCTCCTCCTCCTCCTCCTCCTCCTCCTCCTCCTGTCCCGCTCCTGGCCCCCGGCCCCCGGTGCGCGCGGGTCACCGAGGCCCTGGCCCCGCACGGCCTTCCCGAGGTCGGGCGCGGCACGCAGGGGCGATCCACGGGGGGGTGGGTGCAAACCCAGAGGTCCAACGCATTCAAAAAATCAAGACGGAGGTTTTTTTCGACTTTCGGCCTCTAGGGGCCCTCGCCGGGCCCCAGGGCCGTCAAAAACGACTCAGGATGAAAAACTTGTCCCCGGGAAGGGGTCGAGACTTCCTGGGACCCCGCATTGAAAAAATCACGGCATCGGATCTATGGGAGCATGTGCTTCGCTGTGCACCCTTGAGGGGGCCCGAGGCGGCCCCCCCTCGGGCCCAAGAGGGGCACGAGCGGCGCGCGCTTCTTCGCCCCGAGCCGTGCGGCACTCCGCCGGTAAGCAACGCCCAGCGAAGGTTCCCTCGGCGGCCTCTCGCTGGGGGCGGCGAGAAGAGGGGCGTGAGGACCGTCGAGGAAGAAACAGTTGCACGACAATCCGTTGGTTCTGGCCTGCCACGCCTCGGCGCGACACGCTAACGACGTCATGGACCCCAGGCGTGAACGTCTCGAGCCTTGCGAAGACTCCCGCCACGCGGAGTGGAGCGACGCGCTATCAGCTTGCACGGCCTGGCGTGCCGCAGGGGCGCCGCCGCGACACGCTAATCAAACGGCGCTGACCGTACACTCACGGAGGTCCTCGCGGATTTCTTGGGTCAGCGTTGGGCCCACAAAATTCATGCGGGTTTTCGGATGTTTTGCTTGTTCTTCGAGACCTGGGGTCCAGGGTGTGGATATCATGACTAGAGCCGTGACACCTCCCGGCCAGACTCCATGGCCCCCTCTTCGATTTCTTTCCCGAGCTGCGCCAACCCTCCGTTTCCTGATGTCCACGACCTGGCTCGGCCGCCTGCGTCGCAGGCGGCCGCATTCGGCCGACTCGGTCCGGTCGGCCGCCGTCTCGGTCGTTCTCTCTTTCGAGGGAAGAAACGCGATGATCATAACCAAGATGTCGCGGGATCCTGTCAGCACCGATCTTGGTCACGGTCCATGCTGGCCGTCGCCAAGTCGCGGTAACGATCCACGAGCCGACGGTTGCCAAGATGGATGAGGGCCAAGATTGACACCGATGTTTCCGCGTTCGATCCTGATCAGGGCCATCGCTTGCTTCCCCTCCCTTCCAGACCCATTTCGGTCGGCCTCGGCTTCTGCCGCCGGTTGGGCCCTTGCTTCGGCCCTGCCGTCGCCGCGTGGGCGTCCTGTCCCCGGGCAGCCGCCGAGGAGGCCAAGCGCCTGAGCGCAGCCAGCAGCGAGCTGCTGAGGGTCAAGGATCAGGAGGGAAAAAACACAGGCACACTTAATCTTCGATTCCCCAGAAAATATTGGAAAATATGGGGAGTGGGGGGGGAAGACAACAAAAACACAAAGCATGGGGAAATATAGAGAATCCTGTTATTTGTGCTTATTTATTTGTGTGTCCCAGGGCTCCCTCAAAGGAGCTGCTCGGCAGCATGCAGTCGGCGCAGCGTCCCGCAGCGGCCGTCGGCGCCGCGCCGAGGGTGCGCGGCGGTCTCCCACGGGCGCGCTCTCCTCCTCCTGATGCTCCTCCTCCTCCTCCTCCTCGTCGTCGTCGTAGTCGTCGTCCTTCCTCCTTGTCTTCCTCTATCCTTCTTCTTTTTGCACATCTCCTTGCTGTCGTACCCACGGGTTCAAGGATGGAGAGCAGCACGATTTTGGCTCTCGCCTCAGCGCCGCGCACGTTCGTCCTTAAAGTTTGCAACGCGTTCAAGGATGGAGGGCCGTCCGTTTGTTTTAACGGGGCTATCGCTTTAGCACCGCGCGCATCAGCTTTCAAAGTTGGCAGCAGCTTCATGGGTTGAGGTCGGCTGCTTTTCAAATTGAACTATCGCTTTAGCGTCGCGCAAATTCCTCTTAAACGCTTGCAGCAGTTTCAAGGATTCGTACTGTTGTAGTCCTGGGAGTAATGCGCTTGTACGGCTTACTTACGCTTGTCAGGGCGCCACGGTCACGTTGATTGGCTGTGTTGAAGTCCCAAGAACGGTGTCCTGGCACAGGTGAGCAATGTCAGGAGGAACAGTCACGTTGATTACCGGCGTTGAAGTCCCAAGAAGAGTGTGCTGGCACGGTTGAGGTTTCTCACGCGGTTGTTTTTCGATGGGGCATTTCCCGCAATGCAAACAATTTCTTATAGTGACCTGCGAAGAGGGAACTTGGAGGGAGGGCTTATGGCAACACCGTTGAATTGCCTTGGATTTACACTGGTTCTTCTCCTCCTCCTCCTCCGTAGCCTTAAGAACTCCACGTTGGCCAGTTCGTAGGAAACTACGAAATCTTTTTTTTGCTCCTGGAATGCTCTGTGCTTTTCGAATAGCGATGCTCCAAAAATGCTCCCTTCATTTTGTGCGTTTTTTGACAATGCTCCTAAAATGCTCCTGCTTGTTGCTGCTATTTCTCATGATGCTCAAAAAATGCTCCTGCTCGTTTTGGTTTTTTTGCCAGATGCTCCAAAAATGCCTCCCTTCGTTGTTGCTGTCTCTGGCGATGCTCCCGGGGAAATGAAGAACCAAACTCGACAAAACGACTTGGCGGTCGGGTATGCAAGTTGCTGCACTCTGTCTGCGCGTCGCCCTATAAGTTGTGATAACTCTGCCGTTAGATAGTAGCGTCAGCATGTCAACGTGGCCGGCGTGTCTTAATTCTGAACTATACTTCGGGCAACATGTTCTGTGATATTCTTACATGCAACGAAACAAACGAAACGAAGACACGATCGCCATAGCTCGAACCCGGCACACAACAAATCCCTGTGCAGTCGACAAGAATTGTGAAGGAACACCAGGATTGTAGTGTGTAGGGAGGTAGCAAGGACAAATTACAGCAGTGGGGATGGACGAAAACAAAAAAGGGACTTACTACAGAGGGCAGGCCAGAGAGTTCAGGGATCAGGGGAAGGGGAGGGACTAGTCGACTAGTCAGGCTCACTGGGGACAACCACATAGTTTGCACCACATGGCTCTTGTATCATAATGCGAGCAGCGAGCATTGCGTTGCGTTGCGTTGTTGGGTTTTGTAGTTTGGCCATTGCGGGTGAGTGGAAAGTGCAGTCCAATAACCTGCTCCATCTGTATCCTTCCTCCGAGTCCTGACCCCCCCCGCTTCCCTGTCCCGCAGCCATTTTGGCAAGCAGGCAAGCGGCAAGGTCCTCGCACCTCGCAAACGTACCATTCTTTCGCCCCTTGACCTTAAAGAATGACCAATGACGTATGATGCGGGAGGACGGCCTTGAGTTTCTCAATAGTAGTGACGGAGAGCAGCAGTGTGTATCGGATGGCCGCCAAACTGGTGTTGTTTCAGATTCTTGGGATCACGACCTTGCATTTCTTGATGAAGTGGAAGAGCCAGCAGTTCAGCCAGCAGCACGTCTCCCAGGCGGCCACGACTGCGATATTGAGCCCATGCCAGATGCTTCAGTCCCACCACAACGACGAAAACGAGGACGGCCGCCTGGCACATATGGATCCAAAGAGGTTCGAGCGTACCTTCGTGATCAGCAGCAGCTTCAGCACCAGGTGCAACAACAGCCGCAGGTCCTTGATGCAGGGCAGCGGATGGCGCTGGCCCGGGAAGCTCGGGCCGTTCGCGCGGACAGGACCTCGTTGCAGCAGATCGGAGTTGGTATTATGGGGAGTTTGATAGGCGTTGGCACGCCGTTGCAACAGCAGCTCCTCACTTCAGTGAACCAAGCGTTGAGGGCCAGACATTCACAGTCACGACCATGTCCACAGGAGCAGCGCGATGGTGTTGAAGGTTCTAGGCTCTCGTTTGTCAGGAACGTGATGTCGGAGAAAGCAATGTCCAGCAAGAAAGTAGCAATGGCCGCTGCAACCGTAGACAGCACCTCAACGCACACTCGGTATTATTCGGAGTTGGCTTCGGCAGCGCTTAACACTTCACGATCTGTGATGTCTTGGTTTGGGGCGCAGCTATCGCAGTGCCCGGATGACCATCCAGAGTTGCTCATCAGCAATACCAGTTATGATGAGACTCCTGTGCCAACCCGCGTGTCCGACGGTGCATTTCACGAAGAACGGCCTGCAGCGACTAAGATTTTACAAACTGATTTTCAGTTGGCTTCAATGGTGCGTGATCAGATCAGCGGCAGGCGACGAGTTGTGATTCAAGATGCGCCCACGTGGCTCCAGTGCATCGATCAAAATTCTACGGAGTGTTTGAAGGAGGCGACCTCGAGAGTGTTCAAAGTGCCGCGAGCCCTGAGCGACCTGAACTTCACCCGCCGCATCAGAATTGTCACCACGGATCACTACGGCGCGAATTTCAAATGTGAGAGGTCTAGGCTAATTGACGAAGAGGGGGAACTCGCAGCATCTCACAGGTGGTCTTTATTGCACATTGGGTGCCATGTTCACGACGCCCATGGTGTTTGCGGGAAGATGCTCGACTTGGTCAGTGGCCATTGTTCTGGCATGATCAGCGGTGCAGTGGTATTATCTGGTTATGGCCAATTTGATGGGTTCATTCGTTCGATGAGAGAGCACGTCGACGAGAAAGTGCAGTATGTGTACGATTTGCCGAACAACGACGCTGTACGTTTCAAACAACATATGTTCGATTAGTTTCTGTCGCTGCCTCCTGCCACACATCAATCTTACAAGGCTGTCTTGCGGCGCCGGGTCATCATCTGTCATTTGGCTTGGCGAATGGGGATTGGAGAAATCGCACGTGTATTGAACATGATTGCAATGGTTGTTGCACATCGGTCGAGCACACCCGTTGGAAAATGAGGAAGTATCTCATCAAGGCGCTTCTTCCAGGGAAGGTTCACATTTTGCCAAGGAAAGATTGGGTCAGCAGTCACAGACCGTTTGGCATGTTCGGGCTGTTGGAAGCGGTCCACGGTCTCCTTGGGCATGGTTTCCGAAGGTGGTCTTGCAAATCGTTCCACGACGGCAACGACGGGATCACAGTGCACGGCTCAAGGCTCGCTCTCCTCGACCAGGACGTCACTTTGGACGACGGGCCACAGCCTCACCACGAGTGCAAAGACATGGATTGGGCGGCCAGGAACAAGTGTGCCAAGAGAGATTTCAATACGTGGTTGGACTCCCATCAGCCGTTGCACATCATGTTCGTAGTTCGCAGTTGTCTGGAAGCCAATCGCATTATCATGAGTTCCATCCTTGAGCAAGCCGGGGAGAAGTGGCAACAGGCAGGCCAGGGGTGGCGTGAACGTGAACGGTCCTTCGCCTTTGCCCGTTGCCCTGTTTTTTCATATTAACCCATGCGGGGAACAAACGCTCAGGTCCTCATTGCCTATCCAACCTCATGAGCTCATGGCTGCTGGGGCCCAGGAGCCCTGGGCTGAGAAATTGGGCCGAGGCCCTAGCCCTAGTCGATAGTGGGTATAGTGTCTACCAGGTTCTCTTGAAGGCCCCCGAAGGGATACCGCGGCTACTGGGCGGGGATGGGGTTCTATGGAGGTAGGGTCCGGGAGGCAGGCAGGGCAAGGTCCTTGGCCTATTGGCGGAACGTGGCATGTGGTTTCGTCGGGTTGTGGGGCCTTTTGGCCCCAGCACTTTGGGTGGCGGCCCCATGGAGTGGTTGTTCACATCTTTGATTGTGTCATTGTCCAGTTCGTGGCACCGTAGTAGAAAGGCCTCATGGTAAACTCTAAGGGGCGGAAACTTCGAGAGATCCCTCATTGGCCTCATCCGGGACGCATCGTGGTGACCCCCCTGCACTTTAGCAGCGCTCTGGCCGAGAGCATGGGCCTTCCTCTTGCTCCTCCTCCCCGGGTGGGTGCTGGGCGCGAAGAAGCTCAGACTGATCCAGGCGGCCGCCGTCGAGGCAGGCGCCGACGACGGCGATGTCGGGAACTCTCCCGGGGCGGGCTCGGCACGCAGGGGAGACCCTTGCGCCGGCGACGCCGCGTCGACGGCGTCGGGCGTGACGGACGGGGGCGCTTCGCGGCCCAAGGCGCCATGTCCTGGGCGCCGCCGTGTCTACATGTGCTCCAGTTGCTTCTCTGACTCCAGCCAGACGGTCCTGCGGGCGCTCCCAGGCGGGCGGGGTCAATGGCGCAAAGATTGCCGCCCGCTGTGGGGGGCGTTCTGCCGCCAATCCTGCACGCTCGCCGCCATGCTGGGGCATTTCTTTGATCGCTTACCTCGCCCTTGTCTTCGAGGAGAGGGACTCTGGTGGCTACGTCGGTGCAGGGATGGTGCAGGAGCGGGTCAACGCCTTGAATGTTTTGAAGCGGCTCCTGGGGATCAGCTTCTCGCCATGCCAAATGATGGAGCTCGCTGAATACGTCACGGAGAGGGCCGATGTCGTCGTCGACCCGAGGGGCCTCGTAACCGTCAGGTTCCAGCATGCGGCTCCGACCGCCGGCGTGCAACTACCTGTGGGGGCGCGCAACTGGGGGCCCCCGTGGTTCGCCCAGTGCCCGATGGTGCCGTTCAGCTTCTCGGAGGGAGTGCAAGCCTGCATTGCTCGGAGTCGGACTTGTATTCGGCGAAGGCACAATAGCAATCAAGGAGGGCCCCATCAGGCGTCGCGTCTACCAAGTCTAAGGGCAAGGACGAGCCTCATATCATAAAGTCGAAACACTGCAACAAGACCGAAGCCCAAGCTGGCATGGCTGTGGCAGCCGTGGACCTTCGGCGCAACGTCGGGTGGGGGGATGTGAAGGAGTCCGTCTTCACCCAGCACGTCAACAAGCTGTCCGCCAATAAAGCCGAGGCGGAGTCGACGGGGGGCGCTGCTGTCTTGGCCGTTTCCACCCAATGGGCCGACGGCTCTCCCACATCATGATGTTCTTGAAGCACCACCGCGACTGCGCCAAGACGAATCGCAAGCAAGTCAAGCTGATCGGCGTCGGCGACCACCTGCACTGCGCGATGGTCTTCCCGGGGCGGGCCCTTAGCATAATGCTATATGATAACGGCCTCTCGGCATCTCCAACTTCCTAAAACTTCGAATCGGTGTCAAGTGATGTCCCTGCTTACTTTGGTTTGGTTCTGGAGGGGCAAAGGGCTAGGCGTCGCAGGCGTCACAGAGCAATGGCATAATATTCGGCCGGACGATCGGGCCCCTTTTCAACATTGTAGTTTATCGTGCCCCTTCCTTCCACATCGGTTCGACTCTATATTGCGCTCCCTTTGTCCGACTGGGCCCCCCCTGATCGTGGCAACCAACCCTGGTGAGATAACCCGTCTGTCTTACCGTGTCGGTTCCTTCCTATTGATCCTACACCGTGTTTTTATTTCGGGTCTATGATATGTAATCTTTCTACTGATAGGAGCAGATCGGCCTCGTTTTATCCTCCCGCATCGTTGGGATCCATCCGTTTGGTCAGATACTGCCAGGCTGTTCGTTCGCACCTCGTTAAAGTGGCCCTGCACCATCTGAATGCGTTCTTTTTGTGCCGGGGGATCGGTCGTGGTCGCGACGGGATGCGGTTGGCTGCAGGTAAGGCAGCATCCAGCCGAAGATCCTGCCAGCGGTTTCGCTGGCCATGCTGCGGCACCAGGGCAGGTTCTTCACGTTCGCTGAGGTCCAGGGGGAGGCTGTCAACTGTGCGGTCAAGGTGCTGGTGACAGAGGGCCTTGCCGACACGTTCGGCATAAGCACGTCGGCGTCTGGGATTTCAATGGCTGACTGGTTCCGGTCGATGGTCTTGACAAATATAGCTACTAAACTCACCGCTGCTGCCAACAAGCCCAACCAAGATGAGGCTGTTAACGATTTAACCGATGACGTATTCAAGACGATTGACATCATCCACCCTGCCTTCATTGCCCACGCTGACGATTGCTATGACTCCGTGCTCCATGTCTCGAACATCTTGGCCTCCAGCCGCGGTGACGACAAGGTCTCCCCCAGCAAGATCGGCCTGGCCATGGATTACATTGAGAAGCAGAAACACATGACGAATATCAAGGACGCCTTCCACTTCAGCACCGTCGGGCCGGCTGCCATGTCAGCTTGCCAGCGCCAGCTGGCGCTGACTGCCAAGGGCGACCTTGGCGACAAGAAGATCGATAGGGCCTCCGCAATCTTGAACGACCTGGCCTCGTTCCCAACGTTGCTTCGGGGCCTGGAGGAGCTGCCCTCAGAACCGACGACGCTCGAGGTTGTGAACTTCGGTCTCGTCAAGACGGGCGGAGCCTTCTCCGCGATCGCTCGTTCCCCGAACACTTGTTCGAGGCCGCGAAGCTGTGGGGCAATAGCTGCGAAGAGCATGCGCCCGGAGTCGTCGAGTTCATGGATGCAGCTATCTTTGCCCTTCCGGATGTCGACTGCGTCGCTACGGTGTTCCTCTCAGCCAATTTTGCCAAGGGTGGCCTGGGCGTTTCGCAGCGAGCGGTCGTTGTTCAATCGTTGCCAGCAGTTCTCATCCATCCAGATTACCAGACGCTGTCCCAGACCGTGCAGAAGCACTTTGTCAACGATTGTGGCTTGCAGTTCAGCTGCGAACGCCCGATGGAGATTGTCGGCCAGTTTCCGCGCGGGCTGAAGGAAGCCATAGTGACGAGTGCGAATTTTTACCTCGGCAACCTCGCGCCCATCGCGAAGAACATCCAGTCCCGCAGCAGCATCAAGGACATGGTCGAGCGCGTGGGCGCCGCCCAGACGCTGAGAGATAGCGGCCCTGCCTTGGATGAGTGGCTGCAAAAGCAACTGACAGGGGATGAGAAATCAACCTTCCTGCCATCTGCCCTCGAAGTTGCGAGCGCCTCGGGCCCCATCGAACACCTGGCCGCGCACTGGATTTGCCCCAGCGGATCGCGGACTGCGCTTTGCACGGTCAAGTTCCCAGACCAGCCCGACTTCGAGGACATCGGGGCCATCCTCCAATTTGCGATTGGATTGCCACGAGAGGTCAGGAGCTTACCGCTGGCATCCCACATGCGTGCTGGCGCTTTGGACGCCTCAGTTGACGAGTTCATGGGCGCTGTGCGCATCAGTGGCATCATCGTGGAGGTGGCTCTCGACTCGACTCCCAGCTGGTGGAAAGATATCGCTTCCTTCTGCTCGGCCTCGTTCCCCCAGCGCGCCTCGGATACCGCCGGGAAGGCCGTCGCCTCGGACGAGTGCCGCTGGGAGTGCGACGGGGCCAGGATGGCGTTTCACATTGTCTGCGAGATGATGGGCGTTCCGATGATCAAGTCCCAGTACCAGCGCGACGATGCCGATTCCCCCTTGGTTCAAAGGCCGGGCAAGCAACACTTTCCAAACCCGCGGCGCGTGCGCAAACGTTGGCCAAGAGGGGTAATCAGCATCAAATTTAAGGACCCCCCTAAAACTGAGTACACGACCCAACACATAAACAAGAGGCCCGCGTCGATCAAACACCCGCCTCGAAACGATAAACAATCCAGGTTGGCAACACACGCCAACGTTCGGAGACATGTTGCCCCATGAACATTTGCATCGGTTTCTTGGGAAAACGACCGTCATATGGTTATACGTATGGCAGAGATCTGGTGCGATATTCATGAGGTGACAGCCGGTCTCGGTTACCTCTTCCAGCGCTATCTCAACTGCGGAGGTGGCGCCAGCTCCGCTACCAACGTCTTCGAAGAGAACGGATTCAAGAAAGAGATCACTGCCTGCATCGAATTTTGCCGCGACTACATCGCAGGCGGCACCGAGAGGATCGAAGCTCTGGAGGACCACCACGGTGCAGACATCATCTCGGTGCGCCCACGCCTGTCCATATTGCTTAACTACTTCCACGGGCACAACTGCGCCGTCGATTCCACGTGCAAGACTATCTTGGGCCGCCTCTTAGAATCAACGGTGACGGAAGGCAAGGAGCTCCAGAAGGTTACTCCCATGATTGACGACATAGTCAGCGATGCGAAACTCAACAGAACGATGGCTCGGACCCACTTCCAAAATCACCAGAATAAAGCGATATACATTTTTGACGGACTGCTCGCCGAGGGCATCCTTATTCTGGTGATTTTTTTTTTCTGCGCCACGGCAATGCGCAGAAGAAATCAGAAAACGGTGCCGGCGCGCGCGCGCTCCCCCCGCGCAGACCAGCGCCGGTTCGTCCGAGGCTGGTCTGCGTGGGGGGAGCGCGCGCGCGCCGGCGCCGTTTTCTGATTTCTTCTGCGCATTGCCGTGGCGCAGAACAAAAAAAAAAACACCAGAATAAGGATGCCCTCGGCGAGCAGTCCGTCAAAAATGTATATCGCATGCTCAGCGCTGGTGGCTACTGGCACAGAACCTGGGGGATCCACCCTTCGATGCAGGACGATGTAACCACGAAAGAGAGCATCGATACGATCAATGCTATCTAAGTGAAGGCCCGCAAGGCATTGACTATTATCGGTGCTTTGAAGGCGCTGTTTTTTCTCAAGGGTAAAGCGGAGAGCGAGGACGCGAGCTTTTTCTGTTGGACTCGAAGCGCTCGGATGTTCAGCTCTCCCCGAGGCTAGGATCCACTAATGGTGTTTTGTCATGCTCTTTTTGTTGTTGTTTTGTTTTTTCTTGTTTCGTTTTTGCGGCGCGCGCTGGACTCGCGCTCCGAACTCATTGCTCATTGCCGTTGTTGTTGGATTCGGGCGCTATGGTTTTGCCCCCTCCTTCTCGAGGGGGGTGGCTGAATCGCGGGCGCGCGTATGCCCATGGTTGCGCATCTCGCCAGAATGGTTCGTGGCCATGGCGATTGCGCGGGGCGGGGTCCGGTGCATGCCCAACGGCATGCGCGTTGCATGATAGCGGCGGAGTCGTCTTAAACGTGTGGACATCCGATGTCCCAGAATCGATGATCGTCGATCTCCAGAAGGCGAGGTCAGCGTGATTGCATATCCGTTTGGATTTGAGGCGGCGTGTGAAAAAACAGCAACCGAACGCCTTAGATCAAACAGGCAACGCTTAACATGCACACTGCATCGTACAACATCGGCACACGTGTGTCTTAGCACTGCTCACTTCTGCGCCCAGCTTCTGTCGTATATTCTAGCCCGTTTTCCGCCAGAGTACGTTCGCGCTTTCTGTCCGCATGAGTTGTGGTTTATGATTGTGCGGGGGCAAGGTTTATTTCCAAGCATGCCTTCCCGTAGAGTGGCCCAGCGCCGCCGCGAGACAAGTCAGAGCTCGAATGAGCCGACGCACGAGGCGTTCTTGAGGTTGAGGGCTGGTGGATGAAAGGAGGGAAGATGAGGAGGAGGCGAAGGAGAATGAGGAAGCAGCGGAGGAGGAGGACGAGGAGGATGAGGAGTACGAGGCGGAAGACAACGGGGCGGATGATAAGACTGCCTGTGAGAAGGGGGAGGGTCAGGCGGGGGAGCATGAGCGCAGAGCGAATGAGGAGGAGGATGAGGATGAGGAAGAGGAGGAGGATTGATATTATCAAGCCTGAGAGGATGCCGAACTTGACTAGTCTGAGTTTGCCTGAGAGACAAGGGTTCTCATCCAACCGCGGATGAGAGAGGGCATCGCGCCAGTGATGGTTCATTATTTCAACGCCTCTTGGCATCTGCTGGAGTTGGGGTCTCTAGCTTGATGTGAGAAAGAAAGCATGCAACGACGTGGATCGATCCGTTTCCCATGGACAAAAAGGAATGCACCGGCCCACATCAATGATGGTTTATGTTTCTTCTTCTGACGCCTCTGTGCCGTTCAACGATATCCACGCGCGCTCATGCGCTCCGCATCCCGCGTGTTGGTGGGCCTTCTTGGGGCCCCCCTGGATCTCCACAGGGTCCCCTGGAGACCTTTTGGGGTATGGCCCGCCGTCCTGTATGCCTCTTGGGCCATCTTTGTAATCAAATCAAGGTTCAGAGAGGATCCTTCGGCTGTCTTGGGTGCTCTCTTGGGTCGTTTTGGGGCCGCCTTGGACACTCATTGGCAATGGGCGCGTTCGTATTTACATGTAGACTAACGGCTAATAGTGCGAATGACCCAATGCGTACAACACACTAACGCGCCAAGTCCCATCGACGATCAGGGGTATACGTAAGAGTGCCAAGTTTGCTTCTGGATACATAGTTCACACACACACAGCGAACGCTAACACATATCGCGCGTCCTTGGGTACAGACACTACTGATCACTCGCGGCCACTGCTTATGAGTGTTGCCAACGCCGTGTAAAGCATCAGATGTTCACATTCTGCGTAACTACCTTGGGGGGTTGGGGCCTCCCTATAGTATGAGCCCCCAACAGCGCACGAATCGTGACCCACAGCGCCAGGGCAGGAACAAATAGTGGAGGTACGTCGATCCTCGCTTCGCACCGGGGTCCTTGAGATCATTTGAGCCTGCTGCGCCCTCTCGGTCGCCATTCTCGAATCCATCGTTTGGCGACTCTGGGTCGTGGCTCGCGGCTGGTTTTCGCTGCGCCAAGGACGTACAGTCGAGCATCTGATTAAGAAACCTCCTCCCGAAAAGCTGGGCCAGCGTTTTCGACCAACTCGCCGGAGAGCTGGCCCAGTTTCTTAAGGGGATTGGTAGCCTTGGAACCTGGAAATGAATGATGTACGTTGTTGGCTCCAAGAGCTGGCCCAGCGTTTCCTTAAGTAACTTCTGAAAAGCTGGCCCAGCTTTCTTAAGTTATAATTTTCTTAATTGTATGTTTGACTGTAACCATTGTGTGTGCACTTTTGCTTGTGCTTTGCGTGCTGATGTGCGCGTGGTCTCTGCCGCTGCGCGCCCCAGTTCGGGCACACGCCTGCCCATGGGTCCCCCCGAAACATTCGGCGTCGCGTCATGTGCGCAGCGTCAGGCCGCCAGAAGCCAGCACAAATATTACGACCTGCGAGTTTCGATTTGATCGTCCAGTGTATTTGTTTGGTCTGCGCTGCAGGATTCGGCTCTTTGCGTTGGTTTACGGGGTTCCAGTCGTTTCTATGAAAAGCTCTCAGGATTTATTCTGGGAGGAGTGCCGTTTTTGTAGTTCCATGCCGCCGTCTGAAAAAACCGGTTTCGAGGGACGCTGGATGACCCAGTCGGGCGTGCCGAGGTGGACGGGGCCCTGGCAGCCTGGCCTGGGCCCCATCTCTGGACCCCTCCCCGAGGGACCGGCCCTTCGTCCAACGCAGTTTTTTTGCTCACGGCCCCCAGGTATCACGAAGGCCTTACGGCTTGTGCCGCCGACTCTGAAGGGGGGACGACGACGACGACGACGACGACGACGACGACGACGACGACGACGACGAGGCCTCCCCCGGCGTCCGCAAAGACGTCGAGGACGCGTCTCTGGCCACCCCCCCCATCGCCCGTTGCAGGGGCCGCGCGCCAAGCCGGATGCGACGTGGGAGGACGCGGCGTGAGAGGGGGCGCGAATTTCCAGTGGCGCGCGCGCGCGCGAGGGGCCGGCTGCGCAGGCTGGCCCGTGGGCCGCGCACGCTGTTGGCGTGCGTGGAAGACGGCCTCCTCGAGCCAAAGATCACGGCGGATGGCTTGGGGCGGTTGTCGGTTTCCAGGGGGCCCTCACTGGGCCCTGCAGTCAAGAAAGTGCTCAGGCTGAGAAGCCGGTCTCCGGGGAAGAGTCTAGAATTCTTCATGGGGGGCCACGTGCAGTCGAAACCGATAGCAAGGACGGGTAACCTTCCCAAGGTTACCCTTGCACCTGTGTCTTTATGGTCCATCCTCGACTACTTTCGACGGCCTGCCGCGCTCGAGAAAGCTTCAACACGGGCGTCCGAGAGGCTTGCATCCTTCTCGCGCAAGTGATGTCAGTTTTGACCGCGTGCGAACACAATCACGCCGTCAAATGAATGTCTTGGGCAGGGGTGGACCTAAACTGTGTTTTGGCGATTTCGTGGGCCGTTTTCGTTTCGATTTCGTTTTGCGTCAAAGGCGGATTGAAGACAAACGAGGGAAAACGCAAACAAGACGAAAACGAATAACACCGTTTAGGTTCAGCCCTGGTCTTGTGTGCTCGGGGACCCATCGAGTTCCCCAGCTCCTGGGGTGCCCGCAGTGTCGGGCAGCGCCGAGGGGGGCCACCTACTGGGGGGGGCCGCCAGCTCCTACCGGACATCGAGGTTCGATGAGGAGAGAGGAGGGAGGGGAAAACACACAGACACAATTTATCGTCGACTCCCAGGAAAATAGAGGAACATATGGGAAGCGTGGGGGAATACGAAAACCCAGAAAATATATGAAAATGTTGGGAATCCTGTTGTTTGTGTCTATTTATTTGTGTGTCCCAGGGCCCCTTCAAGAGAGGAGGGAGGATCGAGGAGGCTTTGGACTCTTTCGGGGTTCTTTGAAAGTCCTGATGGTTCTGCTTCCTCGAGGAATTTGGCGCTCCCCCCCCCTGCCGGATTGAGACAACAGCAGCTCAAGATCGGTCCCCGGACCCGGGGCCCTTCCTGGGGTCAAAACGCATCAGTTTTCCGAATTGCGTCCAGCCGTGGCGACGATGGGAGCCCCCCGAAGGCCAACTACCGCTGTCTCAATTCACCCTCTGACTGTGGTGACATACCTTGAAATGGCCTTGTGCAGAGTGACACCACCATGGGCTGTCCAGACCTGGGGTCGTCTCCGCCGAAGTCGGGGCGCGC